ATCCACATATCCCCGAGCGGAGGCTGCTGCAGGCGGCTGATGGTGCTGGCAGCAAAGACGGAGCAAGAGGCCAGCGGTGTGGGGCTGAGACGTGACATTCAGCCAGGGGAAAGAGTTCACCTCCCTTCCCTGACATCTCCAGTGAGCACAGCTTTTTTGAGCAGATCCTGGCTCAGCGCAGACCCCCGCGGCGGCAGGGTCTTGCCTCACCTCCCCCTCTCTCTTCCCCAGTGCACGAAAACCTGCGGCATCGGCGTGAGGATGCGGGATGTGAAGTGCTACCAAGGGAAGGACATCGTCCGGGGCTGCGACCCGCTGGTGAAGCCGGTGGGCAAACAGACCTGCGACCTGCAGCCCTGTCCCACAGAGCCCCCAGGTGAGCCTCGCTGCCGACAGCACCTCCAGCATTGATTTTTCCACCGATCCCCCCAAGCAGCACCACCCAGCATCTTAGCTTCCACTGACCCCCAATTTGATAGTCATCCCAGGGAGGACATAAAGGGGACGACTCTCCTTCTGCGTCCAAGTAATGGGGCACCGTGCACTGGCTATTTCTGGAGGTAACCCTGTTAAATTAAGGGGAGAGTTCAAAAGAAGCGTGGTCTGACCTTAAGATAAAAGGAAGCTTTGGAGAGCTGACTCGGGTGCTGCTTCTGTGTGATTCCAGCTAATGTCTAGGAAGTTTTGTCTGTGCCATTATTTTAATGATTTTTGGTCTCCAAATGTCCTGCGGGATTTGTAACTATCTCGTTATCTGACTCGTCTGCTGGCTCAAAGCCCCTGTGATCTTTAGTGAACACGCAGTTCTAATTCTTTAATAGGATTTGGGAATAAGGACAGTGGGGGAGAAAAGCATGAAAATGGGAGCAGATCTGGGGCTGGCTCCTGGCTCGGCTCTGGACCCGCTGGGTGCCCTCGGCTGACCTCTCCTGCAGGGTCCGGGATGCAGCACGGTGCTTGCGAGGTGCCTCGTGGTCCCCTCATAGCAAGGTGCCTGCCCTAGGAGCAGCCTGGTTTCATGCATCCTATGGATTTTAAGCAAAATATCTCTATATAACTGTAAATCCTGTGGGTTTGAAGCAAAATAGTGCTCTGAAGGAAGTTGGGGGAACGTCATAGCAGTTTCTGCTCTCCTCCCTCTCTCTCTCCAGCAGCTCTCTTGCACCAAACTCCTGCTGTAACACTGCTGGATTCCTGTTCGCTTTCTCACATAGCCTTTTTGAGGCAGAAACTGAGTGTGTTGGGGTCACGCTGTGCCCTACCATGGGAGGACCTTGGCTTGGGAGTGGCTCGGTGCCAGGCTCCCGTGGTGGCTCCAGCAATCCCTGGGCAGCTCTGTTTTGCAGGGAAGAGCTTGGGTTTGGGGGCTGGGACCAAATAAGACTCGCCAAGCCAGGCCAGGTGTGATGAAACGGGTCAACCTTCTCATGCCTTTGCTTAGGTTGATGATGATATTTATAGAGAAGCTCCATGGTGTTTTCCAGGGGATGCTCTGCCAGATATCAGGGAGGTGGCAGTTGCAGCCGGGGTGATTTGTTGCACAGCCCATGGCGTTTAGGGCAGGCTGTGCATGGGGGAAAAAACGAGTTCATGAGCTTGATTGGTTTGTTTTCTTTTTCTTTTCCATATCGGTACCTTTTGCCTTCTCTCCCCCAGACGACAGCTGCCAGGACCAGGCAGGAACCAACTGTGCTTTGGCCATCAAAGTCAACCTGTGCAGCCACTGGTACTACAGCAAAGCCTGCTGCCGCTCCTGCCGCGCACCCCACTCCTAGTGCCCGGCAGCACCCAGCACCCACGGCACACACCGGGCCGGCACCCCTCCCTTAGCAAGGGCTCCGTGTACCATTTAGTAAGCGCTACACATCCCACAGACTGGTGTTAAGGTTTGGTTTGTTTTTTTTTTTCTTTTCACCCCACCGATGCAGAACTACTATCCTTGTCCCTCTCCCAGGTAGAGGAACAGTGCCGGCACGGCTCGGTTGCAAAGCCGTTACCACTGTACATTGGTAGCCCCCGTTATCAGAGCTGTACATAAAGTCGTGTATATTTGATTCCCCCGAACTGCAGACACATGCACGTGTTTCACAAGGTCTTGTCCTTTTTGGTTTCCTTCGTCGATGCAAGTTTGGGGTTGACGAGGGGAAGGCGTGAACCCCGTGAAGTGCAAGTTTCCCTTCGCAAAGGGGGTTAGTGCCTCTCTCCTAATTTATCCCCGAGACCTGCGCGCTCTCGTTAGCTGCATTTAATGTGGTGGGAAGCTGATTTTCGTTTGCTAAATGAACTCAAGCCCAAGCCCTTTTTTTGTAATATGTAGGTGTATACTTTTTCAGAGAATTTTATCTTATAATCAAATGTTAGTTCCGTAGTCCTTACACCTCCCCCCCATAATGCTGACATATTGTATATAATATGGAAACATAACTGCACTTTATATCACAAAAAAGACGTGCTCTTTTTTAATATATTTGTTTACAGACAGTGAACTTTATCCATATAATCATTAATTTGTACTCATATGTATATTTTAATAAAGTTGTCATATTTATGGTGGTATCTTGTTTTATTCTCCAGTTTGTAGTGGGTGTTTGTGCTGTGTGCTGGGAACACTGGCGTTGGGACTATGAACTTGCTGGTGCCTGGGGAGAGCAGAGCAGAGTCGGGGGAATCGCAGCTGCTCGGACAGTGATGCAAGGAGAAGTCCTGGCAGCAGGGGAACTGGGATTTTGGGACCATTGCTCTGGGTTAGGGGCCTTTTGGGGTTACGTGTGTGGCTTTAGGAACCGCAACCCTGAAGCTTCTCAGGAGCTTGCAAGCAAAGAGGCTTGATACAGCATCAGCAAGAAAAGGGCCTTTCCATGCTCCCAGGGTGGGGGTGAGGTTATTGCCCCGTGTTTCTGCAGGCATAACTCATCGAGGCTGGGCCAAAGGCTTTTTAGCATCCCCCGTACTAGTGTGTGTACCCCAATTACTGCTGCATTGCTCCCCTCAGCAGCAGGGAAACTCCTGTGCCTACGTGAAAGCTTTGCAAACACCACCCCATGTTTGAATGCAGGGACAAAAAGGTTGGCCACAAAACCCATGTCAAAGAAGTAGTTTATTTTTATTCTTTTTTGCTTTTTTTTGTCCCCCCCCCCCCCCCCCGTGATTCCCAAAGTCCTGTACAACAGATCACCAGGTGAAGGTTAGTGAAAGCCAACCGTTTGCTTAGTTTCCAAGCTACACGGGAAGGAAAAAAAAGAAAAAAAGGAAGAAAGGAAGGCTGGCAAGAGAAGTACGGTCACAAGAAATGCAAAGAGGAGGGCTCAATGCGTGGAAACAAACCCTGGTGAGAACTGTACACAGGAGCATGGCCCAAGCGGCTGCCATCCTCCCAGAGCACAGGCATCGTGCTCCCGGGATGCGGCACCCCAGGGACCAAGCCCAGAATATTAAACACGTACGAAACCAAACCCACCCCCCCCCCCCGCCCCAAACAGAACCCCCCGAGAAAGTCAAAGATAACTCCATTGCAAAGACGGACTTGTACTTCAGAAGATTTCCTGTGGAATTAAAAGCCCTCGTGGTTAAAAGTAAAATAGCCAGCTGGGCTGCATACAGTGTCTGTGAGCCGATGGGGCTGGAGCCACAGCTTTTTCTTCCCATCGCATCTTTAAAAAGAAAAACTGACCCAGAGCACAGCGCTGAGGCCATTAGAGTCTCTTTGCAGCCAGTCCATCCTCCGCCAGCCGTCCCCAAGTCCAGCGCGATGCTTTTAACCTGAATAATGCACAATCCAGGAGAAAGAGGGTGTTTCGTCAGACAAAAACTGTGAGTATTGCAAGGGTGGAGGGGAGGAATCGAGACAGCCAGGAGAAACCAGAGCACAAGAGTCCCCGCATAGGCACCCCTGCACCGTGCAATTTCTCCTCCCAAAGCACTGAATTAACCAAACGGCTCTTTTGCAGCACATTTAGTGCAGAGGGACACGCTCGGTGGCCATCTCCCTGCCTCCAGCTCTGTTGGCACAGCCCTGGCCGGATCCAGCGTGGCCAGCGGAGCTGGGGCAGAGCTGGTGCTGCTGCCTGGCTGTGGGAAACAGCTCGATGAAAAACGCGAAAGAGGTGGCTTTGCCTAAATCTAAAGTGTTTTGACACATTCCTGGATGGGGAGAATGTGTCATGGCTTTTTTTTTTTTAAAAAAAAAACAACCCACAACCCAATGCATGTAAAAATGTGCATGCAGGGGGGTGGGCACATAGACGGTCACGCTCTTGCTCGCCCAGCCCTCAATCAGAAGTCGCATATGGTGTTATTTGAAGAGAGGATGCTGATTATTCAGATGGGATGGCTACGGGTCTGTTCCTCCATCTGAAATTGCGCTGTGTGCTATTTCCACAGCCAGGTAATGCAATGGGTTTGCAAACCCTCCCAGTCTGGCTCCATCGGGGGGGCGATGGGGCAGCTCCGGGGGTTCCAGAGGCAGGGACAGGCTGTGCACCCACCGGCCATCCTGACCCTGAGGGAATCGCGCCTGTCACCCAGGAATAAATGACCCAGTTGAGGAGTGAGATGGCCTGGGAATAGGGCAGGGCTGTACGCACGCATACACACACACGTACGGCTGCAGTACGGAGGGGTGGCACAAGGGTGGGCAATAGCAGCCCTGCTTCGCTATATATGTGTGTATATGTGTGTGTGTGCACTAGGGCCAGGAGCAGTCAGCTGCAGCGTGCCCCCACGACACAGCAGCAGATGCCTGCTGACTTGCAGCACGAGCCATTTTCCAGCTGACTGTGTGCCCCATTACTTGCTTGTCATCAGCCGAATGTCGAGGAGGGGCTTTTACTCTGTATAAAAGGATGCGCAATATCAAAATCCTCTTTATAAAAGAAAAAAAAAAAAATGCAACGCAGCACTAGAAAAACCTCACGTCCCAGCCGCAACCGTCCTCCCCCATGCTCCCCTTTTGGGTTTGTTTTCTTTGCTACCCCTTTATATTGCCATTTAGCACGTCTCTACCTACAGAACGTAGAAATACATTCATTTTTTTTTTCTTCTTCTTCTTTTTCAAAACTCTTCCATGAATTTCAAAAAGTTCTCCCTGCTGTTAAAAGCCCCCGGCGGCACCGGCGAGGTGTGATGTGATGCTCCGGGCTGGGCGGGCAGCCAGCACCTCACACATCGGTGCTTATGCTGCGGCTACGGGAGAAGGCTTCCCGCATGGCCGAGAGCCGGTTGGGGTTGAGCGCCTGCAAGTTGGCCACGCTCACCGGCAGATCCAGATCTTCCTGGCTCACCGTCTTGTAGCTCACCCGGTCGCCCCCGTTGTGCAGCTCTTCGGGGGGCTCCTGCAAGAAGAAGGTGGGGGGCTCGTACGGCACGCAGCCCGGGCAGCTGGGCCGGCTCGACGCCGGCTTTTTGCCGAAGGGGGACGAGGCGTAGAGGGACGGGCCGTTGGTCAGCACTACGTTGCGGTTGCAGTGGAGCGGCGGGATGTGGGAGTGCACGGCGAAGTCGGGCTCCTCCTCGTCCTCCTCGGACTCATCCTTCTTGCAGCAGTAGTACTGAAACGGGATGGCCCCGTGGGGCCGGGGTTCAGTCGGCATCCCAAAATGCCCACCTTGCCACCGAGGGGCTGCTCCGTGCATGCCAGCCCTGGGGACCGGCAGGCAGGGGACAACGGGCTGCCCGCAGGCTTCCCTTCCCGTTGCAGCATCCTTTGGGGCCACGTCCCCCCCAGCCTTACCTGGAGCCTACAGTAGCAGAGGACAGCGATGATACAAAGCAAAATGACAGTCGCTAATATTCCACCTGTGATGACCACGGTCCCGGCTGTCATCCGCCCTCTTCTCCATTAACAGCCTGCAAAAGCGAGCGCACAGGGCGATGGGGTGAGGCTGGCACTGGGCTGCAGATCCCCAAACCCTCAGCTCACCCCCTGTTCGCAGGGGACTAGAAACCAGGAGGATTCTGTGGGAGGTGATGGGCAGGATCAGGCCAGATCCTGGCACTGGGTGCCTGTTAAAGCCATCAGGGTGTCCCTGTCCCCTCCTAAATGCCACCCTGGGGGTGCAGGGGGATAAAACAAGTTTTATGCAGTGGGTGAGAGCTTTAGTGAGCAGCAGCTCTGGGGTCACATCAGGCTCTTCTGCATCCAGGAGGGGGGAACCCAAGGGAAATATAAAACCTTCTGCCCAGTGCCCGTGGCACTCAGGGCACCCTCCGGGCTCCTGCCTGGTGGCAGACAGCTTCAGTGATGGGGGAAGGAGCTTTGCAGTGAGGATTTCTGAGCTGTACACATTTTTCTCTGAGCCTATAATCCATTTTCCCCACGAAAACAATGTGGTATTTTAATTTGGCATAAAACTGGAGCTGCTAAGTGAGCCTTTAATGACTGCAGGGACAGGCGCTCTCCCCTCCCTGAGCAGCGAGCTGCGGTACGGGATGTGTCCGGCTGCTGCAGGAGGCACCAAGCTCCTCACCTTCGCCATGGCCAAGCCACAGTCTTGGGGGGGGCTGTGGGGGCACCCCAGGATGATGTTTCTTACAGCCTCGGCCGAGCTGTTCATTCCCACCACAGCAAATGCTGCGGCTGGGACACAGTGTGCTGGACATCACAGAGATGTTGTGGCTCAGCTTGGCCCCACGCTTGCGTTTTGGGGTACCACCAGTACCCTTCTCTCCCTGGAGTGCCCCTTAGAGGAATCTGGGTGCTGAGACAGAATTGGTAGCGGTGGAAGGTCCCTGCTTCTGGCACTGCTGGGCTCACCCACAAGGCAGATGCTGTGCATAATGCAGAGTACATGAGCCCCACGACACCAGCACGGGTCTTGCTCTGAGCATCCCTGCCCTGGGAGCTCACGGGAGAGCTTGAATTTCCTTCCATCCCATGCAGAATAAGACCAAGCTCTTTTTGCCACAGGAAGGATGCTGGGGAGACGCGTACCTGCCTGCACACACCTGCTAGCAGCTATGGAGACAGCGGCACTAACACCAGCATCACTCTGCAGCTAAAGCTCCAGCAGCCCTTCAGTGCCGCAAGTGTCAGGCTGGGAACAGGAGAAGCGACATAAATTAAGAGAGAAATCGTACCCTGACCACCTACTCTACAAGCGCTTTAACAAAGCTGGCTTCCAGCTCACGCTATCAGGTTAAAACAAAAAACCAGCCACCCCAGCCCCAAATTACTTCAGCACCCGAGGAAAAGCAACTGTATCTGTCAGGGATTTAACCCGCTTCCAAAGAAAATAAATCTGTGGCATATTTTCAGGCGCTTAATGTCCTGCTAAAGTTGGGTAAGTGCTGAATGGATAAAGCAGTATCACATTTTATGTTGCTGCTGAGCAGCACTGTAGGAGGGAAGGTAATTTATAACGACGTCTGAATGCCTTCTAGCACCGTGTGGCCACGGGGCAAGCGCCGGGCCAAATCCTGCCCTCATTCCTCGGGCAAAATACTCTGAGGAGGCTCGGGGGGGAGGAACACAGTCAGGAGAAGGGTTTGCAAAAAAATGCTTTAGTGATTTAGAAACTTTGATTCTTGTTTAAAGAGGGATGGAGGCACTCGGCTGCAGACCTCAAGCTGCACTGGGTGCTGCGGGCACATGCGCCGGCTCAGCAGAGCCGGCTGGAAATGCCCGTCTGTGGGTCCTTTGCTGCTCCCATTTGCAATCCCCATGCTGCCAGCTGCTGGGCAGGCATAGGACCCGGCTCAGCCCCGTGGGCTCTCAGGGCCGGGTGCTGCACCCATCAGAGAGGATTGGCATCTCAGCAAGCTCCTTGCCAGCCCAAGATGAAAGGTGGCAGGCAGGGCTCCGGCAGGGAGGGCTCCCCAGCTTCCTTGACACTTAATTAAATGGCTGCCTACGCCCGGAGCACTAGCGAGGGTCGCACAGAGCCGGTTTCATAGTTTCTGTCCAGATGCCATCAGCCAGATGTGGTATCGCAGCCACTGCTCCATCCAGAGCAAGACCATTTGCATTTCGCTCTTTTTTCCTCCCATAACATACTTGTCTGATTAAAGCTGCGTACCTGGAAGCATTAAACTCTCCAGCGTGCAAAGGGGGAGGAAAGCAGAGCATGTGGAGGCCCATAAGCAGAACAATTCCTGTCTAGACCTCCTTTTTACATTTGTTCCTAATTTCACGCTCCACAGGCTCCCAGATTCATATATTTAGTAATAAATATCCTGGTAAAAGGAAGTGCTTTGCAGCTCCGCTGTGGTCTTGGAGAAAGTATGCAGGAGCCCTGGTATTAGGAACGCAGGCACCGAGAGATGCGGTCCCAGCAGACGGTCGCTTGGCTCCTTCCTCGCCCCTCGGTAACGTTAGGAGCCCTCCAGATACCGAGGATGCCTGAACCCCCCTCCAGCCCCTCTGCCCCATCCAAATCCAGCCCCCAGCACGTCCTCCATCACTGCCAGACAGCAGAGAAGGGGCTGTGGGGGGATGATAATTCTGCACGGCCTGTTTGCCCCTGGCCCAGGAGCTCTTTGCTGTAGGAAAGCCGTCCCCAGCGCCGTGGGGTGACAGAGGATGGTGTGTCTCAGGGTTACTGGGAGCTTCCACACTGGCATGGGCACACGGGAGCTTGGGTGCAATGCTTCCCCCTTCCCTGGGCACCCTGCTTTACTTTCCCAGCGTGCAAAGGACAGGTCCTGCCGCAACAAACCAGACACTTTGCTATATTACTACTGGCTGCTCCCAGATCAGCTATTTGGTCTTAAGACACAGTCCTGTGCCACTTGCCTGCTTTTGCCAGGACATCTACTGCTGCAGCTAAAACAGCAGCAGCCCTGCAGCGGCTAGGAATTCTCAAGGTGTGATAAAATGGCCTTTTCTATTCCTTGTAGCCTGGAGAAGACACAAGCAGAGCTCCCATCGGCTCTGGTCCCAGACTGGCAACTTCTTACCTCGCCAACACTCCCTGCATGTCCCTGCCATGGCTGAGGACACGGGCTTTGAGGTCGTGCTGTTCACTAGGAGCCGGGTCTGCATCAGCCTCTGCCCCCCCCCTTCGCTTGGGCACTGCTACGAGGGACTGACGGACCTTCTCGATGTGCTGCAGCCCGACCCAACGGGCTGGAGGCAACTTCTCAGGAGCAACAGAGAATGGGCCAGCACAGAATTGCACTTGATAATGCAGAGGGGGGGGGGGGATGAGAAATCATCCCAAGTCACTCCCCCCCCAGGCATCTTGAACATGGCCCCTGGACCGCCGAGAGTGCCCGGCATGGGGAGAGGCTGCTCACAGCTGCGTCTCGCTCCTGGGCTGGAGACCGGCTGTGCAGCCAGTGCCTCTCGGGATGCCTGCGTGGGAGGAAGGCTTCAGAGCAGCTGGGGAGGGGGGCTGAGTTCAGCCCATCCGAAGGCTCCAGCTAATACCCGGCTAAGCGTGGCTCCGAAACGCTGAGCTCCAGGTGCTGGAGTACTCCAGCCACGGCCGGCTCATGTGGACTGGCCTGACCCTGCCTGCCAAGGCTGTGGGAGAAGGATAGCTGGGGACTGCGAAGGAGACCACTCCAAGGCTTTTTTAAGAGACCCTCAAGTGTCCGGTTAAGCCAGCTTCTAGGATGCACAGGCATTAAGAACAATCTTCAGGACAGACCTTTAAATTAATGGGGCTTCCGTCTATCCCATCCCATCCCAACGGCAACACAGTCACCCCAAAGCCTTCTGCACTAGCTGAAAGTGCTGTCACGGCAAGCACCAAAAAAAAGGGAGTGCTGCTCCCACTGAAACTGTGCCTGCACAAGGAGACTGCGTCTTAACCTGCAAAGAGCTGAAGCCCACGGCTTGTCCTACTGTAGTGCTACCTGCATCCTCCAGCAGCCCTGGGACCTGCATCTTCTGCAGCCAGAAGCAGCACAGCCCTCTATTTAGCAAGGAAGTTGGGAGTTGCCTTTATTCACCTGACTCCAGAAGCTGGAGATTTAAACAAAATAGACAAACGAGGTAGGAAACAACAGCTGGCAGCACAGACATAAGTGCTGGCAGGATTGCTCACTTCTGGTACCCCAGCACTGGAGCAGGCAGGAGCTTAGACCCCACCATAATAACCACACAGCCAGAAACACCCCACGCTCGAGGGACACTTGGCTCCAACCTTCTGCATGACACCTCTGGCTCTCGTCCTAGCCATTCTGCTGATCACAATGGTGGTCTCATTTGCAGCGGGGAGCGGGGACCAGCTCTGCTCTGCACTTCCAAATGGCCAAGATGGAAAAAGGAGAGAAAGAAGGAAAAAAAAACCACCCCACCCTTCCCAGGGAGCGGAGGAGGCCAGCACCGTGTCCTGAAGTAACACCATCCTGCCTTGTCTTGGCTCTGCTCTGCACTAACACATCCCTGGCCGTGCTGTGTGCTTGGCCAAGTTGTTTTTCTGCGCTGAGTCCTGCTGCCGTGCGTGGGTGTCCTCCGGCACCCGGGAAGGGCCTCCGAGGGGGGGATCGACCCTGCACGCCAGCATTGCCTCCCCAGGCTGACCCTCTTCCAAGCATCACAATGATGGCTGCTGGTGGGTCAGCTTCTTGGGGCACTCTGGGGAAAAGACCCAAGGGAGAGACCTCAATGGGGGGGGATGTTCAGGTTGGGAAGATTAAGTCCTACGTGGAAACTGGGAGTTGAGCAGCTGTATACGGGGGGAGCACGAGTCTGACCCTCCGTGGCGGAGGGACATGAGCTCCACAGGTCTTGTTCTGGGTGGGCAATGTGGCCATTTCCCAGCTTGTCCGTGCACAACAAACCCTGCTGCCGATGCTTCTGAGCAAGCCCTGCTTCAGAAGAAAGGAAAAGAGCTCAGCAAGAGGCCAGGAAAATGGGAGAGCATGCAAGTGATGCCGTTCCCTTGAGCTGCTGGGTCTTG